AAATGAGCACACATAACTTACCAAATGAGAAATAATGATATGAAAATCATAAGATTTGTTACTTTAGCATCAAGACATTATCATTGAACATCAAACATCTCTTATTGAGTGATATAAGAATGCAATTGAGTATCAGGATCTCTGCTCCCATGCACATAATCTAGCTCTTATGCGAATCGAATATGATACTTTTATAATATGCATTAATACGTCATTTTAAAATGAGCATAAAACTAATTCCAGATAAAAATACATAACTTACAAAATGAGCATAAAAAAATTCAAAAACTCGTTTCAATTTTCTAATGTGTCAAATGTTCATTTGTGCTTATGCATGTAATGATAAATACAATAATGACAAATATAGTAATTTTATATTAAAAATAGTTTATAGACTTTAGTTCTCGAATTACAAATATAATCAGCTTATTTTATAATGTTTACCCGTACATATTTATTTCACTAAACTTCTTTTAGCATAACACAAAACTCATGTTAATAATTAACACACAATATTTAATAAACTAATGAATATTCATCCTAAATAAAAAATAGAAAAATAAAACATGAACACCTGGAATATTTTATTATACATTAATTAAAAAACTTAGGTTACAAGGTTAATTTGAAAAAGAAAAAAACTAAGTATGACATTTAATAATATTTTGTAAAATATTTTATATTATAAAATTAAACCAAAAGTTTGCTAAAGAAATAAGCAAACAAAGAAAGAATAACAATAACAAATAATAATAAAACAAAAAAGAAAACGAAAGCAGAACAAGCAACAAAAAGAAAAAAACGGAAAAAAGGAAACACAACAAACGATAAAAGAAACCATCGGCGGATCTCCGGAGGGTGCATGCTACGGAAAAGAAATGGAGCAACAGTATCTTACCCTAAGTATAACCCTTAAACTTGAAATTAATTACGAAAATGCCGGCTGTACCATGCCAATGGTACAACCGGCTGTACCATATAATTTACGGCTTTTATTTGGGCACGACCATTCGGTCTAAAATTTTCTTGTTATTTTTCATTTTGGGGTGTATAAATTTGTTTTCTGAATTTCCTTTTTTTTTATCATCAAACGGGCCTCTATTCATATCAAAAGATTCAGGATCATTACATCAAGCAAAAGGAAAATAAAACTGACACCAAATGAAACTTCAACAACTCTGAATTTCTTAAAAAAATGGGATATATGTGTTTTTTATAGAGTTTTTTCAATTTTTAGTCCCTTGACTATTGGGATAGTGACACTTTTGGTACCCGACTTTCAATTTTTCTATATTTAATGGAAGAGAGGCGAGGATCCTTATCGATACGGGAGCACAACGTTCATTCGTTAGTGAGGCGTTTGCCGTGGGATTGGGCACACCTTTAATACCAATGACGCAAACCCTTTTGGTATCTACGCCTCTAGGGGATGACGTTGAACGAAATGACTACTATCCATCATGTGATGTGGGGATAGGGGAGCACTATTGATAGGGTGAATTTCCTATTATGTATGTTTGTATTTTTAACTAGTTTTATTAGTTCTAGTTGTAGAAATTACACACTTTTGGTGTAATACTTTATTTTCATTAATTATTTGTAATTTATTTAGATTAGGATTATATTGAGCTTAGGACAGGTCAAAATCATCCCAAGAATCAAAGGATGGATCCTAAAGACCAAAGAATGTGCAAAAAGGAGAAGATCAAATGAAGATTTTGAAATTTGTTCAATACTCGGTCGAGTATTGCCAATACTCGGTCGAGTATTGCCAATACTCGGTCGAGTATTGGCCTGATACGCTGGTCAAAATCAAATCTGGGAGCAAAAGAACGTGGCTGAATATTTGATGAAAATCATGTCGCATACTCGGTCGAGTATTGGCAATACTCGGTCGAGTATGCCTATTTTTCACAATTTCCTGGAAATTTCCTCTCATACTCGGTCCAGTATTGCCAATACTGGATCGAGTACCGAACCCTGCCACCTCTATTTTGCTATAAATACACCCCTTTTCCTTCATATTAAGGGAACCAATTCACATATACTCTTTAGCTCAGTTTAGATTAGTGTTTTCTTTATATTTTCTATCATGTTTAGTCTCCAAATGAGGAGCTAAACTCTTCCATCTTGGTTTTGCTACTTTGAAGCTCAATGAATTTGTAAGTTGTGAGTTATTTTCTTTAATCTTCTTCCTTGAATATTAATTCTCCCTTTAAATACTATTACTATATCAATGTTGGGGAGTGTTACTAAGATGACAATTAGTTAACATCTTGACATTAGTTATAGTAATAGCTATTTCTCCCTCTATGTTAATATTGGGGAGTGTTACTAAGATGACAATTAGTTATCATCTTGATATTAACTATAGTAGGATTCATCTTCTTTAATATTCTTCCTTGAGTATTAATTAATTCCTATTCATATTTCATATTAATATTTTGAACATTACTTAAAGGATCAACTAGTTTTGTCTCATATATTAATTATTACTAGAATCGGTCGGTTAATACGCTTGTTATTAATTCGGTCCTTTCACGGTAGTAAACTTGGGTTGTTAATGCATGCTTCTCATGGTTAATAAGCCAAGGGGAATTAATTATATTGATTAAACCAATAAACCGCTTGTGTTGAGGTTATCAATCTCAATCGTTTTCATCTTGATTTTATTGCTACTATCAAGTTAATATACGGCGCTTGTTCTATATTGACTCGGTAGTAAGTTTTATTAATGAACGCGTCTCGTTATTAATAACTACCCTCGATGAACTGGATATACTCCTCGATTGAGTATTCGAGAGGAAGATAGTTAAAGATATAACCGGGATCGACGAACATTTCATTAAGTGGATAAAAGCAAAGCCAAGTCTTCTTCTCATTAATTAAACCACATAACTCGTTCATCTTCGTGCTTAAATATAATTTAAGTTCATCAACCAAAAATGCAATAATTAAAGCCAGGTCTCTCAATAGTGCAAAAATGCAAGAATTAAAGAACGAGGAAGTATATGAGAATATGAATTTGTGCAGGGAAACGAGGGAGAAGGATGTGCAGTTCAAGGTCATGTACTGTGGAATATGCCATTCAGATCTTCACCAAGTTAAGAATGAATGGGGTTTCACAACATATCCCATTGTTCCCGGGTAAGATGGTTATTCAACCTCAGATCCCTACCTCAATTCATAGTGATAATAATATTGGCTTGCTTTTCTTAATCAGTACTTCACTTTAATGCATGGATGCAGGCATGAGATCGTTGGCGTGGTGACAGAGGTGGGGAGCAAAGTCCATAAATTTAAGGTTGGTGACAAAGTGGGTGTAGGGTGTCTAGTAGGATCCTGTCGTAAATGCGAAAGTTGTGCAAGTGATCTCGAGAACTACTGCCCGGGAGGTGTTCAAACTTACAATGCTATCGGAACAACCACATATGGTGGTTACTCGGACATCATGGTTGCTGATGAGCACTTTGTTCTCCGATGGCCCGAAAATTTGCCAATGGAGGCGGCTCCTTTGCTATGTGCCGGGATCACAACGATAGCCCTTTAAAATATTTCGGACTTGACAAGCCAGGAATGCGCATTGGGGTTGTCGGCCTAGGTGGTCTCGGCCATATGGCTGTAAAGTATGCTAAGGCTTTTGGATGCAAGGTGAGTGTGATCAGCACCTCTGCTAGTAAGAAGAAAGAGGCTATGGAACTCTTTGGGGCTGACTCATTCTTGATCAACAGCAACTCAGAAGACATGCAGGTTTGCAAAATATCTCCATCTTTATCCTACTATTAAGGATTTATTTGTGTTTTACTTGTTCTTGAATAAAATGTCAAACTTATAAGAGGAGTTGTAACATATATTAGCTTCTATTTTATATATATGTAGGGGCCGAAACATTTTTGGTTATTAGTATTATTTTTATTTTTGTAGGCGGCAGCAAGCACAATAGATGGGATAATAGACACAGTCTCTGCCGCTCACCCTCTTTTGCCTCTACTAAGTTTATTGAAAGTCAATGGAAAGCTCGTGGTGGTCGGAGCACCGGAGAAACCATTTGAACTGCCTGCCTTTCCCTTGATCTTGGATATGGACATCCATTTATATCAACAACCTAAGTCACACATAACTTCAAATGGTGCTTATTCTAACAAATGAGAATGTATATGGTACATTGAATTTCATATTTTGTGATTACAAAAGTGCCAAATTTGCTAAAAATGTCATTCACAAATCAGTTACTAATTGAGCTTTTTCCCTCGGGTTAAAACTGCATTACTGAGAGTCTGAAACATGAGTTTGATCTGCCAATACTTCAGTCATGTTAGGTTTATGGAAAATATATATAAGTATTTGTATAAGTATTTGTATAAACAATACTTCAGCAAATTGCTTCCATCCTACTTCCTTTTCGAGTATATTCATCATGATTTTAAGCACCCAATGACGTTGGCGACTAGTGCTTTCCACTTCAGCACTTATGTCATCTCCCCTAGTGTGTATATATAAATTCCTCCGTCGCGAAATTAATTTCTCACTTGAATTTCACAAATATTAAAAAAATAAATTTACTATGAGATACTACCTCCGTCCCATAAAACTTGATCAACTTTCCTTTATTGGTCGTCCAAAAAAACTTTGTCATTTTCATTTAAAGTAACAAATATGTGGCTAACGTTATTTCTTTCTCCTCTGTACAAATATCAACCACACAGTTTTTACTTTATTAATCTATATGCAAGTCAACTTTGGTCAAGTTTTATGGGACGGAGGGAGTACATTTTACTGTTTTGAAACGATACCAACACTGTTTTGTTGTAGATAATTTGCTAAATAAGGAAGTGAGAAGTTAATTTCGAAACTTGCGGAAAAGGAAAGTGAGAAGTTAATTTCGGGACGAAGGGAGTATATGCAGTTGATAACGTTGGCGAGTAGAGCTTTCCACCTCAGCACTTACGTCATCTCCCCCAGTGTGTGTATATATGCCATTGGCCATTCCCTTTCGGAACCATCTTCCTTCTGCTGATTTTTCAGATTTCGCATTACACATATACGTACTTGATGGCAGCAAATTCATATGAGACAGAGCACCCAGTGAAGGCTTTTGGATGGGCAGCTAGGGACACCTCTGGACTTCTCTCTCCTTTCAACTTCTCCAGAAGGTAATTATCTGTTACGGAGTACTCCGTATATTATTAGCTGGACTTTAATTTGCTGGTTTGATGTTATCTAATCTGGTCTGATAATGTATGGTCTCTTTGTATTTTTATAACTATCCAAATTTGATCTGATTTGGGACGAATTACGGTTCAAGTAAAAACATCATACCTCTAATTTTACACCCCAGAAATGAAAAAATGTGAATATTACTCTGTTTCTATTTAAAGTTACTATATTTCCTTTAGCAATATCTCTAAATAAGGTTTACTTTTTTATTTCAAGAGATTGATCGAGTGAAATCTGGGAAAAGTTTTAAATTAGAATTAAATACTCCGTATCTATCTAAAAAATAAAAGAATAAAAACTCCCCTAAATAGAAGGCATGACTCATGAGTACTAGAAACAATAATACTCCCATTTGAAAGGTTAAAATAGAAGTAATATGTGAAGCGTTCAACGAACAAGACAAGCTATGCATTAGCGAGAGCTGCTAGTTCCTTGTCTGAGCGGCATACCTGGTTTTCTGATCCTCCGGTTTTCTTTCTTGTATTCCGGACAATGATCTGATTAATACTAATTAAATTTAATAGAACTATTATGTTTTCATTCTATAGAAGTAATCACGTCATGTTTGTCATCATATTTTAAATTTAAATATGACAGTATTTTCCAAAGTTAACAATGTTATTCCAAAATAAAAACATAATATTCCTATTTTGAAATTCCAAAACGTTTCTTTTCATTTACTTTGCTATCTCAAATACCAATTAACAGTAATCCTAAAAGTGTAGACTCTTCACATACTCAATAAAATAACATTTCCAATTATAATTTCTTTAAATATGAAAATGTCAAATTATGAACTTATTTAAGAGATCAAGGAAGTAAGATCATAGTTGATAAAAATAAAAAAAAGTTTGTAAAATATGGAACTGTGTAAATGAAAATAAAATAAAGGTTTTGTATCTAATCGGATGGGTGCAGGGCAACTGGGGAGAAGGATGTGCAGTTCAAGGTCATGTACTGTGGAATATGCCACTCTGATCTACACAAGCTTAAGAATGAATGGGGTAACACTAAATATCCCATTGTTCCAGGGTAAGATCAATAATAAAGTCTCTTTTTAATTTTTATGTCATGAAACTATTTGCCCTCTTTCTCTTCTGAACTGTCATTTTAGTACACATTACTCATTTTCTATCACTACCTTTTGTCATCCATACATAGTACCAACTACATTGCCTAATAGTGCAACAATTATATGGATATTTTGCTCATAAAATAGATTTTCCTTTGGTAGGAGAAGTTCGTTTTTTATCACTTATGAGTTTTGATGAATGATCATGAATTCATGAGTGTTTTTTTATTTCCAAATCTTTAATGTAATTATCCACCAAAAGATCAACTGCAAGTTGTGCATGAAGTGGCTTGGAAATGATTGGAAGGACCCAAAGGCCAAAGGGGCTTTCTTATAGTTGGGGGATGGTTCTTAATCGGACTAAAATTCTCTATTGGGTCTATTTAAGTGTGGTCTCTGGTAAACGTGTGGTATAAGTATATTTTACTATAGTCTACTGTAGTGCGGTGTGTTTAAGTCTGGTTTGGAACTGAAAAACATCCAACTAAAAATATCCTGAATCCCCCAAAAAAGCAGCTCAATGCACATTGGCCTCCCCCGAGCATGCGTGAAGGGTCCCACCAGGCCACCAAAGACTGTATAAGGAGCAAGACTTTTCTTGTCATTTTGACAAGAGACTGCTCCCAAGACTTTAACGGTGACCTAGCAGTCGCACTGCAACACCGTAACCGGTGCGCCAAGGCTCCCCTTCAAAAATATCCTTGGTTATGCACAACAAAAATTAAGGTGAAAGCTAGGCAAGGACTAAAAGTGTAAATGTTCTAAATTCTAATAATTGTGGGATTAGAAGTACGATATATAATATTCGTACATGTTACTATTTAACATTATTTAGGAAAAACGACTAATGTGATTCATATTCAAGCACCTCAAATGATGTTTAGATCGAAAAGAATGCAGTATTACATTCATTCCTTTATAATTCATAGCATTCATAATTTGACAGCAGTAAGCACTTTTTTCATTTTTTCTTTTATTTTGTTTCCATTTGATTTATTAACCCGTGCTTATTTTTTGTGGTTTAAATTAACAATAGTGATAGAGGATATGAAATTAATGTAGTAAACTAAACTAACAACATACTGTTCATCATATACTCTGCCTTTTATGCATGCAGGCATGAGATTGTTGGTGTGGTGACTGAGGTTGGGAGCAAGGTGATGAACTTCAAGGCTGGAGACACTGTGGGGGTAGGGTGTCTGGTTGGATCCTGTCGCAAATGCGAGAACTGTGAAAGTGATCTCGAAAACTTTTGCAGGGGGGTTATATATACTTATAATTCTCAAGTAACCCCCACCTACGGTGGTTACTCCGACATCATGGTCGCTGACGAGCATTTTATTCTCAAATGGCCCGAAAATCTGCCGATGGAGGCTGCTCCTCTGCTCTGTGCTGGGATCACAACTTATAGCCCATTGAAATACTTCGGACTCGACAAGCCAGGAATGCACATCGGAGTTGTTGGTCTAGGTGGTCTTGGCCATATGGCTGTTAAGTATGCTAAGGCTTTTGGATCCACCGTGACTGTGATTAGCACCTCTGCTAGTAAAAAGAAAGAGGCTGTTGAACATCTTGGCTCGGACTCATTCTTGATCAGCCGTAACCCAGAAGAAATGCAGGTCTTAATGATATCCCTAATTTTATCCTATTAGCAATTCAGGTTTAATCCTTAATGCTCATCCTAATAAGAGGTTTAACCAGTGTGCATAGATTATTGGGTTGGCTAGGGGGATTCATTATTTAAATTTTTTCACAAAATTCTGTATACATAATACTAGTAAGTGTTTAGCCAGCTTTAGGTGCGAGTGTGCGACCAGGTCCAGATTGACGATGACATACGTTTCAATATACATACCTCATTTTCCACAAACTTATTGCAGCCATGGACTAAACTACCACTAAAGGATATAAAATTATTTGTAACGACGAGATTTCTTTTGCAAGAGCTCATTATTCACTATATCCCATTGTCTTTGTGTCATCTTTTCTTTTTTTAGCAGTCTCAATAGGTTTTCTCATATGTATACTTGTATGTAGTATTTCAAATCCCTTCATACTTGTATAGGCAGCTGTAAACACATTGGATGGCATAATAGACACCGTTTCAGCGGTTCACCCTGTTTTGCCACTGCTCAGTTTATTGAAAACTAATGGAAAGATTGTATTGGTTGGAGTCCCCGAAAAACCACTTGAACTCCCAGCTTTTCCTTTGCTCATGGGTAATCACAATATTTAAATAATGGTGTTTCATAAAGTTGATTAATTATCACCATACCTTAATTTTGTGTCGCAACTTACAGGTCGGAAGCTAGTGGCTGGAAGTAACATTGGTGGAATAAAGGAGACGCAAGAAATGCTAGACTTTTCAGCAAAGCACAGCATAACACCAGATGTGGAAGTTGTCTCAATGAATTATGTTAACACTGCCTTAGAACGTCTCCTCAGAGGGGACGTGAAATACAGATTTGTGCTTGATGTTGGCAAAACATTGAAATCAGACTGAATATTTATGGAAGAACGTTCTGTTCAATTTTATTTAGTAGCAATAAGAGTAGACAGCAGACAGTGACTTTCTTTGGATAGAGAGTACTGTCACTTTGAGATTTCACAAGGCGTTTGTTGTGTTTTATGTAATGAGCATGCAGCATTTTGTGTTGTATACTTGTATTCATGTCATTTTGATCGGGGCCATGCTTGACTTATACACTCCATAGTCATTAGTCCATTCAACCCAATTTTTTGTTATTTTTCATTTTGGAGTGTCTCGATTAAGTTCATCGGAATAGGTGATGACTTGGGTGCCTAATATGATTGTGGTGCTTGATGTGTCCCGAGAGCGCCCTCCTAAAAAATATGTAGTAAAGTTTCACCTAGAATGCACAATCACGGAGACATTTAATAAAAAGACACATTTTCAAAGAAAAGATGAGACTTTCTTAGTTTCTTTCAAACAACTCAACAAGAAACTTGTTGTTAAAAAAGCTTGAGTAATCTGGAATTTGAAAGATTAAAATCTATGTAGCACTGATACGAGAACGCGAAAAACGAGTACGAGAATACGACAAATTAAAAATAGTAGGATACTTATACCAGGGTATATTTATAAATATTTAAAGTTATGAGTGTCTTTATATAGGGGTAAGACTGCATACATCCGACCCCCGGCCCCTTACCCCACCGTACGTAGGTGGGAGCCTTTGCGGCATTGGAGTAATGATAATGAATGATAATGTGTCTTTATAAATATTAAAAATTATGGAGGTGTATCTATAAATATTAAAAATTACAAGATTTTATTGAAATGTATACATATATTATCCCCACATTCATAGCGTTGAAGCATTTCATGGCAGTGAAACATTCCAAATTATCAAGATAGTTAGAAATAAATTCATATATTATCTCATACTTCGTATACAATAGTGCATCTCAAAACATAAATATAGAGCTCGTTTGGTGACCCTGGTTTTCGGTTGATCGGGCTTATCAACCAACTTTTTTTCTTTATTTTATTAATAACAAATATTTTAAATATAACTTTTACATAAATAAGCAGAATAAGCCAATCCAGCTACTTCAGCCAGAACTTCATAAATTTAAACAGATTCAACCAATTTCAGTGTTACCAAACAACCGCAGAGTCAATAAGTCACTAATTTGAAATGAGAAACAAATCAAACAACCATACTTCTGAAATTAATTATGCAACTACTTAATGTTCTTGGATAAAAGATTCTCAATGAACATAGAAAAACAATAATCTAATAAAAAATTAAAAGTTTTAATAAATATTTTTGAGGACTTTTATTATTTAATTTTTGGATGTTTCTTTATAAAAAAAAAAATTGATGTCTGTATCCGTCAGGATGAGTGTATCTGAATTTTTGAAATAATTACCACAAAAGTTGAAAACTTTTAATGAATTACAATAACATACGATACGTACGAATAACCTAAAGTATCTGATATTAGGAATGTTTTCGATATACCAATATGGTACCCCGTACTCTAGTCAAGTATTCACGCTATGACGCATAAAACTACAGTCTATAAACACCTAAAGCTATATAACCTATAAGTTAACGAAGGGATCTTGACCCGACAATTGATCGGCTAGACCATGGCGACGCCTATTATTATTCCAGACTTATCGCATGCGATTCTTTCCCCTTTGGAATTTTGAGTGTCCCTTGAAGCCCAACCCAATAGCGAAGTTTGGCTTTTAATAGCCCTTCTACTTTGCCTAAACACTTTGTTGTGGAAAAATCTAAAATGAATTCGAGAATTTTGGGAAACAATTTTTCATTCATTTCAGAATAGGTTCCTACAACTTAATACATCGTATAAAGTATTGTTCACCTTACGGAGCACTACTTAATTAGACTTGATCCCACTAAAAATGAATTATGGGTCCTTATATTTTAGCTCAAAGATGACTAAAATATGAAGGTATAATCATTTTAAACAACTTAGACGCTAGTTTGATGGTTTTTATTAACACTATTAACACTTCACCAAAACGCATGATGAAAAAATGTTACTGAAATAAAACTACGTAGTATTATTTATAAAAATATGATTAATAGTTATTGTTGTATAGTGTCATGGACTTATAGTCACTTAAGTGTAAAAGTTAAACATAAATTACTACAACAAGTCATTACTATGTCCTTTAGTAAAGATATTATTTTTTATTTTCATCATTTTCGTACACACTATATTAAATTAATAATTTTTATTTTTATTTTAGTGTTAAGAAACTTGTAAGAATGTTTTTCCTTGGACTTATTTCAGTCTCATACCAGATCAGACTGGACCAGACCAGATTTAAATAAACTAGACAAGATCAGACCAGAGGTAAACATACCACGCTTTAACAGTAATAAATAATAAAATACACAGAGATTGGATAATTACCAGACCAGATTTAAACACACAAGATAGACCAGATCACACCAGAAAATTTCAATCCAATTAAACACATCGTAAAAAGTAACTTCTATAATAATACCATTACTATTATTTTTATATATATGAACTACTCCGTATAATAGTATTTGATTTTTTTTGAACGAAACTGGCTTAACTTATCATTACCAAACAGACCAAACGAATCAAACCAAAATAGGTTACAGGGTGACAACAAGTCTCCTGTCTACCGTCCGTCCAAGGACCAGACTCTAAATTAATCACCGTAGAAGCCATATAATTCGCTGATCCCGCTTTGGGCTTACCTGAGCCAAAGACTTATAGACACGACACATCATCTCCTGTTTTAGTTTCACTAGTTTTTTTGCTGGAAAAACACAGCATAACCAAAACAAAAAACAACATCGAGGATGTGGGAAATAAATAAATAAAAATAAAAATAGTAAATAAGTTTCTCAGCTAAAAGAACCGTAAGCAGCATCAGATCATCTGGTGGGGCTGGAGACCAGCGCCCGCCCCAACCCCGTTTTTTGGAGAGTCCAGCGCCATAGCATCTTTTTCAGCATCCTCCCTAGTCTGATCCTCCCAAGTGCGTCTCCTCTTCAGCTCTCTTGACATTCCTTCTTCTTCTATCTCACCTGAGACTATAACGTTCCTCATCCGTATCCAGCTCCTGCACTATCCTCCCGACCCGTAAAAAATGTGTGCCGCCTCCAGAGGAGCTTCCTTCCGAAATCAACCATTTGCTGCCCATATTTGACTTCATTTTCCTTCCACTCGCTCTAAGCCACAGCCCAAAAGGTATGGTCATAGCTTGCCCCTGGTTTTCGTACAAAAGGGGGCAAAAATTTTCTGCATGTCCATCATACCACAACAAAAACAAAAGCTTGACAGCTTTTCATACTTAGAGTCTACCCAATACCCTTCTCCCTTGCTTTTCCTTAAAGTGGTTCCAATTTTTAAAGCTTTGTCAGTATTCATGCGAACTCTCACACGCATATAAGCCTCCTTTTTTAAATCAATTTTTTTTATCATCCCAAGTGACAATTTCCCCCAAATGATTCCCTATTCTCCTTGTCGTTCCCAAGTTTTCAAAACTATACAGCACATTATGCACCTGTACCCAGATCTCAAACTCATCTAACAACATCTTGAGTGGGATATCACCCGGTTTAACAGCTTTAAGTACAATCAAATTCTGATCAAACAGCCAGGATCCATTATCCAGGACACGATTCATATCAACAGAGTGGAAAAATTTAAACATATACCCCCGTTCTCCAATTTCTTGTAGAGACATTCCTTTGCCCGAACGCCATATATCAGCCATGAAGTCTCGGAAGAACAGAAATCGGATAACTTTGTCCGTGAGAATTGTCCCAACCACTGGAAATTCCTTCGCCTTCACTGCCCCAACTGCCGAGTCCCCTTCCTCTTCATCTTCAATAAGCAGTTCATCCTCAACACCGCCAATTCCCAATTCATCATCTGCTCCGTCCTCTATCGCGTCGCAGCACCCGGCTCCGAGTCTCGCCCCTCTTCGCGGCTGGTCTGCATTCTCTCGGCGCCACACACAGAACGGCGAAGAAACCGACCCTCAGCTCTCGCTAGGGTAAAGTGTGATTAATTTGCACTTTATAAATTAAGATGAACATGCACCATAGCTCAATTATGGTTTTGCGTTATTAATAGTATTTGAAAAATAAATCATCGCAAAAAGTAACTTCTATAATAATACCATTATTGCATAATGCTTTGACTAAACAACGATTCTTACCCAATAGATCATGTAACTTTGATTTTATCATGCCGAAAATGGAATGGCGTTTGTTTGTTTAATAAATAGAAATATGATTGACAAAAAATGAGTATCGGATCCTCTATTTGCTAACGTTTAAAAAACTTAAGTTAACAAACATCAAGTCCAGGTGGGATGGTCAAATTAATTAAAGTGTACATAATAAAGTCATAAACTAATTAAAGCGTGAAAACCAAAAGAGTGATTGGGACAATTGATTTAAAGTCAGTGACGGAGAGCAGGTGGCGGATAAATGGTAGGAAACTTTTATTTGCCTTACTAACCACCAAACTAAGAAAAATCCCAGAGGAAAAACGCTCATTCCAAGATCATCAACCTAGCTAATTCATCACAATTAACCCCATTCACCTTTCAAAGGTACGTTATGTTCACGACTATCCCCAGATATCAGATACCCAGACGTTGCAATTGATCTGTTTTATTCCCAGAAAACGCATAATATTTGACATTTTTTCCATAAAAAAGATATTTACGTATTCTTGATCAGGAAATAATTATACATATAAGCTTATCTTTCCTTTTGTAGTTTTGCATGGTCTGTTATGCAAGATCATTATTTAATTCTGAAATATTTATTTGATTATATTTGAATTTGACAAATACTTACATGAGGATATCCATTGTTTTGTCTAATCTGGATTCATCTACATTGATATTTAGTTCCTTGGAATGGGATGAAGTTTGGATTTAGGAAAACATTGTTATGGGGAAGAATTCGCAGAAACAGACTGGGTTGTCTTTGAATAATCATCAACCAAAATGCATGTGGGGCATATTTCACCACCTTCAATACAATAGATGGAACACTGTCAAGAAAAGGCTTTCATACAAAAGTCGGGCAGGTTCGAAACATGAGCCCGGTAAGGAATTCAAAAAAACTTAATGCATCTCTTTATAACTTTGTTAGGCAATTTCTATTTCATCTTCTAATTGAAAACCAAAGATACAAACTTATATATAATGACTTACCTATACTAGGCTTCTCCTCTTGATTGATATTTTGGATGTAATGAAGTCATTAGAGACTATTATGCCACTCCCGTCTCCCAAGTTACTTGATCTGAATAGTCTTTAAAAGAGTACACAAATTTTAAGATATTGGCTAATATAAAGATACAAACTTTCTTTAAGGGGGGACCTCAAATTTAAGATTGGGACCTCAAAGTTTAATACTTAAAATAGTCTGGTAGGGAAACCTGAAAAAGTTTGAGATTTTGTTGTAAAAACTAAGCAACACCATTTGACTTTTTGACTCTAATGTGAGCTTTTTCCTTTCTCCAGGTGGAGTTTATGAGAGTGAAGCAACTACCAATGGCACTGGTGAAGTGCATGACAAATCAGAGAGTAAGACAGAAAAAACTCTCGTAAGTTTGCGCTAATAGATTGGTCGATTATATAAATCAGCATGTATCACTTTGTTTCGTTATGTTTATTTAGATGATATATAGTGTTGGGTGGTCAGGTGGTTGAACTAAACCATCCCCATTATTGCCAGCAATGCTAAAAGATTTAATCTAATCTAATAACTAATTTAACTGAATGTCTTATAACTCATCATTTCTTCTTTGCTCATGTGATGTAGGACTCTGGCATGTGTCTGTCAAGACCATATCATCAGATAGATAGTGTTTTTAATCGAGGTTTTTTTTTTCTCTAAAAAATGAGTTCATTTTCAGATTGAAGCAAGAACTAGAGAGTGTGGTACTACATCAAAGTCAATGAAATCTCGATTGAAATCCTTAATAACAGAAGAAGTATCAAAAAGAAGGGGAAGGGTGCGGCACCATCGAACTTCCTCCTGCCCAACAAACGCACCACCAATGCAAAAAACTACTCACATAATTCTACCAGACCCCTTAGATGGGGATCTTTTGGCTCAAACATCTGTAGACGGCACGACTTTGGAACATCACAAGAATGTGCACACTTCTGTTTTATCCTTGTTGGACCCACCACTTCCAAAGATATGTGATGGTCACCTCTCTCCCAATGAAGCCTGCGATTTGTGTGTTGCCATTCTAAAGCAGAATTACCTTAAGGAGAGTGATATTGGGGTAGAACGAACCAGCACGGCTTCCCTCCAAGAATCTAAGCTGTTTCTGAAGGCGCTTGATTTGCTTAACATGAGAAAGGAGGTATTCCTGAAAATTTTGCAGGACCCATCTTCATCATTAGCTCATCAGTTACATGATAGTCGCCGGGCAACTAATTTACGACTTGGATTAGGAAAGTCTAAGACATTTCCTTCGTCCGGTTCAATTTTCAGAGAAGATGTGAACTTGATAGGAAATGGGGCTCTAAGGATGAAAGAGCATGATGGTTTGTGCAAAGATCATGAACTTTTGGATAAAAATGTATCTAAGAATGCACTAAACGAGAAAAAGAACAGACACGAGAATGGGCATTGTTTGAAGCATTTCAAGAATCTAAGGGACAAATTAAAGTATGTAATTAAGGAGAGTAGAAAGGAGAAGAAGAGAATAGTGATGGATGGAGTGATCGATAAGATCCCTCGTGGTCGAAGCATTCCCGAGGAAGTTAAAGAAGCTTCTACACATTGTCATTCCCCGTTTGTTGGAAAGGGTGAGAGACAAAGCATGAATAGAAGAGGGTCTCCTTTATCTTTCCATGAATCGGCAGAGCGGTATAATCAGCTACTAGAGTCATGCTTTCCACACCAGAATAGTTCTGCTAAACATGATTGTAGAACTTCAGGACCGCCTTCACCTGTTACTAGAAACCATAAGATTCTGGAAAGGATTCTTTCATTACCTGATCTAAGGTACTACTCTTCCTTACGATGTGAAGATTCTCAATGTACAAGAAGGTACTGTGAGCGCAAGCACGTGTACACCCCCACAGGCGGTTCTGAATGCCATACTCTATCTGAGTCTAATTCAGATGATAGCCTTCATGACAGTGTCCAAGATGTTGGTCACACCTTTGATGACACTACTGGTTTACAGACACTGCATCAGTGTACTAATGCTAGCCATGATTTGGTGCTGGACACGATTCCGCAAGACTCAGTTTCCACAGAAATGTTTTCTACAGTTGAAGGTAATTTGAATACACCATAAAGATTAAACAATTTGAATTTTTTTGTCCCTTATGTAAACTCCCTCCATAACAATTCGAAATGTTTTCATTGAACTTACAAAACTGAATCCAAAAGAGAGCAACTGGCTAGTTCTATATATATGCTAACTTTTTTTACACCAACAAATAGCATATCTGATTAATTTAGTTAACCACCAACAAAGTTTAAGTGTATAACGATGACTTGATGTTTTTCAGTTTTTGACAGTTTTACCTTATTAATTTGAAAGTTGTATATTGGTCAAATGAGCCTATTTTCGGACTGAGATGGTAATGTTTATTTACATGGTTGTCGTAACACCGTACTCACGTTATAAAAAAACACAATAGGAGAAACATTTAAATGTCTCACCAGCCAAATATAAACATCAAAATTTACAAATCAGGTGAATTACTTCTTTTATAAAGTTTATTTTTAGGATGAAATGTAAAGTTTTAATATGGTATAGGAATAATATAAGCTCAGGCTAACAATTGATCTGACTAGAAATTGAATATGAATTTCAAGATTGACACACTCCAAATACCGAACCTACTCTTTGAATCTTTTAGAATGTAATCTCATGTCTAAATATAGAACTGATCTGAATCCAGAGGAATGAACTACACCTTGGAGTTACTCCACCAGTTTCCATATGATAGTATGATACTGAAAAATTAACTTTATCATCTAGATTTCACATAAACAATTGAGAAAGTAACTTGTAGAACATAACTAACTTGTTATTCTTTTGGCAGATGATTTATTTTTCGGCCAACAGGTTGATTCCAAACAGGAAGCATCTAGTGTGAACGAAACTTCAGTTGATATAGAGAAAGAAGGATCTGAAGCAGAAGGAATGAACAATATCCTAATGCATCTCCATGTGGATGAGAAAAACAAAGCCCAATTTGACTATGTAAAAGACATACTAGAGCTGTCGGGATTCAGCGGAATCCAGTTTCTCGATAGCTGGCATTCTGCAGAGCTGCCCTTAAACCCTTCTGTGTTTGAGGAAGTTGAAGGCTGCTGCTTACCCGAACAACTAGAATGCAATGGAAACAAGTCAGAAGGCAGTTGTGATCATCTTCTTCTCTTCGATCTAATCAACGAAGTTCTGCTAGACATGTATGAAAGATCGTTTTCCTACTGGCCAAAATCTCTGACATGTCACTCTTATATTCGTAGGATGCCGGTGGGGTACCGCGTTCTAGAGGAGGTTTGGGCAAATGTAAACTCGTTACTAAGTTGGAGCCATGAACTTGAGTCTTCACTTGATGATACTATCTGTCACGACTTAGCAAAAGGTAACAACTGGATGAACCTTCAGTTTGATGGAGAGTGTATAGGTCTTGAGCTGGAGGAACTTGTACTAGATGATCTTTTAGATGAGCTACTTTTTGATGACCTTCTCTTTTGATCCCCTGCATGAAAGGAAGATTTTTCATTTTTCCAAATTCTTTCAGATGTATATACATGCATGACACACACACATATAGAAAAAAGTGGGAGTAAACCTATATACAAGTTCTTTCTATAATTATATGGTCTGTGATTGCTTGTCTTATTGTGAACGTGAAAATATTGAATAAAAAGAAATACATGATCATTTTTAGTTGGAGATTGGTAGATCTAGAAATCTCGTCTAGCCATAATTAGATATTTCAGCTTGTCTATGAGTCTTTGGTGCCTTCTTGGGTCTGGATATGACTCGTCTTGGTTCTGAGTCTTCTGATACACGATTAACTTAAGGATCCACTGCAGTATCAATAGGCTTGCAATGTAACATTTCTAACTACTCTAAAATACTTAAAGCATACTTCCTTTAGGATATGGAAATGTCTCATCGAGACCGAGCTACCTCAATTCTAAGGAAATAGCATAAACATTCCAAGTCTTTTTGTGTGGATATATTCACATAAGTGTTGGCTAAGATGTATAATATCATCATTATATTGTGACAAATGGCAATATCACCGACAAAAACAAGGGGATAAATACAGTCAAAAGAGGAAGAATGTTAAACCTATGATCCTTTTCACTGCGAAACATACCAAGCTGTTTGATAAAGTAATTGAACCTGGTGTGCCACGCTCTAGGAGTCTGCATGTATTCATATAAGGACTTATGAAGCCTGCACACAAATTCACAATACACCCGTTGAGTAACAAAACCAGGTAGGCTCTCCATGTAAACTTCTTGTATCAATTCGCTTTGAAGAATGACAAATTTGATGTCGAGGTAATGCAATAGCCATATTTCCATTGCGCTGCCATAGAGAGAATGGGACATAAATAGGTCATTTTGGAAACAAGGAATAATATCTCACACTAATCAAGATTCAAGACCATTTTTTTAGTATGGACCATAGGCACTAATCAGGCTTAAAACCAATCATCTCAGCCATCAACTTTACAAAGACCAATCCACATCCCACTACAAATATGTGTGATGGAAGAAGTATAGTGCCTACCTTTGATTGCATTCTAGCATTGTCATCTTTTCATTCATAGCCTGGTGCCACCGTGGCTGAGAGGATGCTACATTTTTTGTATATTTTGGAATATGAATACAGGAAAGTGCACACTCTTGATGATTCAGAACATTTAAATAGAGTACGAGTAACGAGAGGAGCGAACACCTTTACGAAGAGCTATTGGTAACTAGATGACTGGGCAAACATGGAATCACTTGATCATGTATTATGTTTGTCCATGTATTATATTATCTCTAGTAAGTAGTACCCTACACTACCTGTGCGGGATGCTGACAACGTTGATCAGATGCACCGTGGGGACAAGCAGCTGTATTAGTGTTGGTTAAAAGAAAGAGAGCCAATCTGTGAGAAATGAACTACATATGACACGACAAGAACACGGAAGTATGAAATATCCTCAAAGAATGTTACACTGGTAGACACAGAATTGATGAGTGAAAGGATTGTAACATCCTAGAAAAATAAATTTGATTGGTCTGTCTAATAACTTGTCACAAACTGGAGATAGATCATGTACAAAACAACTAGAATGAAATAGTTAAGGAAAACCTTTAAAACATACTCCCTCCGTCCCTTAAAACTTTGTCATCTTTTCTTTTTGGGACGTCCCAAAAAACTTTGCCACTTTCCCTTTTAATCAATTATTTTGTGGTTCCTGTTATTTCTTTCTCCTCTCCACAAAACTCAACCACACAATTTTTACTTTATTATTCTCCGTGCCGGTCAAATTTGGCAAAGTTTTAAGGGATCGAGGGAGTATGTCTTTAGGAAGCAATAGGGAATAGGCCGGGTACTTTCTTATCCAAAACAGAAGATGACATCATGATTAGGATGTTTTTACTTGAACTGAAATTTGTTGATCCCGTCTTGTTGTTTAAGTCTGGTTTGGTCTGGTCTGAACTGTTCTGGTTTGGTCTGAACTGGTCTGGTAAACATCTGATCTCTGTGTATTTTATAACTAAGAAATTTAGGTCTGATCTGGTCTGATCTGATCTGTTTAAGTTTGATCTGGTCGGGTTTGATCTGGGAATGAAAACAATCCAAGTAAAAACATCCTTAAAAATAGTTTCCTACATAAGAATAAAGCATATTTAGTGGACCATCAAAATAGAACAGTTTCTCTCCTACACGAGGAAATTTTGATTTTCTTATTCTTTATTAGGAATAAATAAGTTGTATTTTAAAAATAATTAAATAAAATACATCTAGTCTTATTTTTAATTAACATTGTCCATATTTCTCTCATATTCTTTCTTTAATAAGAATGTGGCAGTGAGAAGTGCAGCCCCCAATATTTTGAAGGTGCAATGAAACATAATAAGAGTATTCTTGCCATTTCAATTATGTTGCGATGTGTGAGCACACCAATAGCGTTTTGCTAGCTGGGGTATATATGAGGATAAATGGAATGATGGATTAGGCATGGGAAGTCAAATAATTACGCACAAAGTTGACGTGTAAAATATTCTTTGGCACTACCCCTTGTAAAACATGTTTAGAATGATCAAGTGATTTTGAATTTCAACACAATTTTAGAATGATTGTACATGTAGGGAAAAATGCAAAAATCATATCTTAATTATGGATAATGTTGCATATGGATACTTTAACTCTTAAATAAATCAAATTAGTATTCTAGCTATACATAAATGTTTCAATAGGTAATATTATTCAAATTTTCGGCCAAAAAAACCTATGTGATGACCCAAATTCCATACGTAGAGTACATCCACCTTACAGTGATAGCATGGACAAAAGAAAGGTAAAAGGAGTGTTTGGTAAACAGCGTTTCAGTAGGAAAATGGCGATTTGACCACTTTAGCGTTTTCAATAACTGAAAAAGTTGTTTGGTAAATAGCTGTTCAGCACCAGTGTTTTTGGACGTAAAAGCTGAAATGAAAATGATGATAATAGGAGAGTTTTGGGTTGATGTTTATAAAAATGGTGTTTTCTACTAATTTTGTGGCCAAACAGCTAAATTACTAAACATTTTCTGACAATCCGCCAATTTATTCCACTAGTCAAACTCGTTGACCGAATGCGTTATTGACAACCCGCTAACATAACCCACCAAACACGTCCAAAGTGGACTGTATGCATAGAATTCCGACCATAACCTAGAATTTTTTGGGCTGAAATTTGAATAATATTGTGAGTTGAAAACATTAATGTATAGTTATGATACCAATTTAATTAATTTAAGAGTTAAGATATCAAAACGTAACAATGTCAATAATTAAAGTACTATAGATTTGACTCTACGTTCTGTGGGACGCTCTTCTTTTAACTAACCCAAGTACATCCATCTTAAGAAATCATGAATGAAAATGACTAAGTACATATACCGTGGGCTAGAATTGAAGCGAGCAGGACACCAGACATATAAATGAACTCATTCAAATAAAAAATTGACCAACGATGAGCTTTGGTAGAAATGGAGCTTAAACATGTTTATCAAGCAAGCAGGACTCACATTCTAAGGAGTTTAAATATGGGAGAGAGTGGACCATTTCCTCTAACTTATGTACTTGAATATTTTAAGAAAGTGTATGAGATTTTGAGAATATAAAATGACCAAATTAAACAGTATAGAGGTCATGTGATTCAAATCTTACACCAATCGGCTGTCCAATGCTCTGGTCATATGTTGTACAAGAATTAATGGTGTAGGTTATAAAATAACAAAAAGCGCGAGTGAGTTTGCAAACACAAATTAAATAAAATTACTTCGATAGCTCAAAGAAAAATAAAAGTTAAATTTAAGAAAGAAAATGTGTGATTTCACTAATGTCACGGTGTCACCGGCCTCAAGTTTAGAGTTTAGACATATCAGCATAAGTGACATAATGTGATAGTTTAGGTTGCAATGAGTTTAAGAAAATATGAGCTGAATAAAAGTACTCCTATTAACTTTAGTTGCTTGAATATGAGCTGAAACATTAAACATTAGAATCTATCATCTAGAATCAGATAATGGGATTGAGATGACATGTATGGCAGATAATACTAGTGTGATAGAATAAAAGGTTAAGATGTAATACTCTCTCCATCCTATTTCGCATGTCCTTCTTTCCTTTTTAGATTTTACCAAAATAAATGTGCTCTTTTGGAAAGAAATATTCGGTAACATTTTATTCTCAACCACAACTTTTACTTTTTAAACCATTTTATTGATAATTTGTCAAGTCAGATTGAGACACATAAAATGAAATTGAGATAATAGTTTATTGTTTTCAAAATTATTAAGGGTATCACGAGAATATTACTCCCTCCGTCCCTTATAACTTTGCCAACTTTCCTTTTTTAGATGTCCCATTAACTTTGCCACTTTCTCTTTTAAGTAAAGAATTTGTGGTTCCAGTTAATTCTCTCTCTTCTGCACAAACCTCAACCACACAGTTTTTACTTTATTAATCCCCGTGCCGGTCAAACTTGGGAAAGTTATTAGGGACGGAGGGAGTATTTAGTTGCGGTTAGAAAAGAAAAATAGAAAGATCTCTTGTACCTTTTGTTCAATATTAGACACTATTGTGTTTTTTAGAGAGACTACAATGTGTTGAATGAGTTCCAATCAGACTTCCGACTTCCGGATAGTGAATGACAAAAACTATATATTCCCTCCATCCCATAAAATAGTTCCCGCATTGACTTGGATCGGAGTTTAAGAAAGTGAGAATAAAGTGAAAATGTATGGTTGTGGTTGTGTAAGAAAAAGGTAAATGGATGTGAGGCACACAAAACTTGCCAAAAGGGGAAATGTGAACTATTTTTGGGGATGACCCAAAAAGGAAACCGGGAACTATTTTGCAGGACGGATGGAGTATACTCCCTCCGTCCCATTTTGGTTGTCCTACTTTCCTTTTTGGGTTGTCCCAAAATGAATGTCTTGTTTCCTTTTTTGGCAAGAAATATGTGGTCCTTATCATTTTACTTTATTCTACTCAAATCTCAACCACAACTTTTACTTTTCATACCGCTTTATTAATAATCGTGCCAAATTGAAAGTGGACAACCATGGGACGGAGTAGTATATATTACTCGTATGAATTTTACCCATGCATCTATCGCACATCATCACTTCTCTGAAAATGTGAAAAGTATACTCATAAAAGAATTGTTATCACTTATCACCTTTGTAAATACCATAAATGACTAAACAAAAGTTAAAAAATCCAAAAATGAAAAGTCCAACTATAAGTAAAATACAATAAACGGAATTAAAGAAAAAGAATAAAATACTCTCTCCGTTTCCAAAAGAAAGTCACGGTTTGACTTCATGATTATTAAGAAAATAAATTGACTTTACTGTAAAAAAACACTGTTTAGACACTGTTTGACACTTTTTGGACACTGTTTGGCACTATTTGGCATTATTTGGATGTACATATCTTTACCAAATAAGGAAATAAGAGAAGTGTGACTTTGTTTTTGAAACATCCCAAAAAGGAAAGTGTGAGTTTGGTTTAGAAAGGGAGGGAGTAAAAGACTAAAAGATGATAGATAGATGTGGCTGTCTCACGTGTGGAGGGAGGGAGGGAGGGAGGGGGTGGGGTAAAATGAAGTAGGTAAGTGCTAGGTAGGGACATTACATGGGAAAGAAGAGACAATGGTGTAAGATGGTGGCAGTCATATATGCAGCAGCTAGCGTCTATCAACTAGATGGACCTCTGGATCAGCCGGCCAGCAGCTAGATACCTACCTAAGCTACCTCCTGTACCCTGCAATCGGACGTACTGCCTTACCTCCCTACTGCGTCGTATGTTACGTCTACTATTCTGTCTCTCTGTCCCTTCCATGTTGTAATTTTCATGCTGCAAAATTAGGAGTGGACAATTCGGTTTACGGTTCGGTTTTCTTCGATTTCGGTTTCGGTTTATTCGGGTTGGGAGAATTTGTACCAAACTAAAACCATTTGTTTTTCGGTTTGATTTCGGTTTGGTTTCGGTTCGATTCGGTTTACCAAAGTAAAAAAATATTATGTTTAATTTAGTTTGATTTGATTCGTTTTCTTATGATTATTATTTTATTTGATCAAGTTCTATATTTTAGGATTAGAAAATTAAAGTAGTAGTTCATCTCATCTTTTATAAATTTATTGATTATTTAAATAAAATGTAAAAGGAAATAAAAGATAGAAAAATAAATAATAAAATATTATAAATTAAAACTTCTAATACCTTTTTATCACTACAAAAAATTCACTTCTTACAAAAAAAAAAGATACTTGATTAACATTTATAATATCACATAAAATATTTTTAAAAAAAACCTAAAAGAGTCGATGATACAAATGCTGTAATACTCACAATTTTATTCAAATGAATCATGTAAAATATAAATGCAATTTGCTATTTTTATCGTCAAACATGATAAATACAAATATATCGTATTAGCTAACTTTGTCATAATGAATGTATAAAATGTGTAAAAGTTAAAATGATACGAGTATATGCTTAAATATGTATTTTCATGTCTAAATTATTTATTTATATCTTAAAAATGAAGAGTGAAGATAAATACAGTGTATATACATATATATGTATATATATATGTTGTTCAGTGTTCGTTTCGGTTTACGATTTTTCCATTTTAAATCAAACCAAATCAAAGTATCAAACCATTTGGTTTGAGCAAATGTTTACCAAATGGTTTACTGTAAACCCATACCAAACCAAATCAAACCACCATTTTAATAATATATGAAAGTTTTTTTTTATTTTCTTTAGTTCGGTTCGGTTTTGTTCGGTTTTTATCGGTTTCGGTTTGGTTCGGTTCGGTTTAATACGGTTTGGAAGAAATAGTACCAAACTCAAACCAAATTGCAAACGGTTCGGTTTCGGTTCGGTTTCGGTTCGGTTTTGTTCGGTTTGGTACGGTTCGGTTCGGTTAAACCAACCCGTTATGCCCACCCCTAATTACAATCATACACAAATTATGGACATCCTTCTAATCGTGTGTGCACAAGTCATTTGTTTTAAAATATAGAAATCGTCTATCAATTATTGTGTGTGTACAATAAGATTACCCCTTTTGAATAGCCCATCTTAGATGCCCCACAACGACTTCAGCAAATCACGGTGTCATCTCAAACATTTGTTCTAAGATCTGGTATACATAAGTAGTCATTGCACTGAATCAAACTCTTATACTATAAGGGCTAGGGATCACTTGAGATACTCAGCTAGACGGTAAAAGCCATTGAAATTGTACATGGGTGGGTTAAGGTAAAAGGTAATATATGCTCACATGACAAGTGAGAATAAATTTTATTACTCCCCCGTCCCAAAATGAACTTCTCACTTTCCTTTTTGGGCAGTCCAGATATTAACTTCACACATCAAAACTTTTCTTATTTGGAAAATAATCTACATAAAAAAAGTGTCAAACAGTGCCAAACAGTGTTTAAACAGTGCAAAATAGTGCACTCCACAGTAAAGTCAAATTTATTTTCTTAATCTGTGTGAAGTCAAACCGAGAAGTTCATTACGGGACGGAGGAAGTATTAATCATGGTAGCGGATGTGAAGTTTGTACCTTGGGTTATGTCCTTTCTTGCCGAATTGTTTGTTTTTGCTTTCTTCTCTGCGCCATTTCCATTTATAACATTATATGAAGATCAAAGGAAATTAAATGAGTAGGTAGTAAAAATGTTGTAATTAATGTTCACATGTGTATTTAAATGAATTGAATCATGTAAATTGTATATTTTTAACTAAAAATGAGGTGAACACAATGTGTTATGGTCATTGTTAAAACTTCTTTTCATACAAAATATAACAAATACATACTTTTATTAGCTAACTTTGTTATATTGAATTTAAGTATTAAATATTGTGTATAAGTTGAAATATCTTATTCAAAATATATACTAAACATATATTCTTCATATCTAAGTTACTTATTTATATCCTAAATAAAGCTGACGAGTAAAGACAAATACAAACTACTTTTTTAAATATAAAAATTCTTCTGTTGGATTTACAATTTTCAATGCAAAACCAATCAAATAATTCAATTTGAGCATATTGTTGCCAATCAATGTAACCAAAGTACCCATTTTCAATTTGATTTGGTTCGATTCGATTGAATCAAACTAGTTTACTCAGCCCTAATTTATACCATTGCTGTTAGTTTCATATATGTAATATAATATCAAAAAATTGAGGAGTGTCTTTATAAAACATGAGTCTACTTTTTAAATGTATCATTACACCATAAATAGTGGAGTAGAACAGTACTACCTCTGTCCCAATTTGATGGTACCAGTTCTTGTTTATATGGTCAACACAAATCACTCTTAATCTCTTACTCTATATATCAAATTATTATCAAATTTGATTCAGGTGTTTGCAACTTTGTGAAACTTTTAATGTAGTTTCTGAATATGTAATATATTTTTCTAAAAATAATTTGGGTGCGCTCATGGATCTGTTTGCTTTATCGTCAGTCAAACATCGTAAACCGCAATGGTATTATCAAATTAGGACGAAGGGAGTAATTTGTAGATAATGTCAATTTATTTATCGTTGTAGATAATGTCAATTAGCAATTCAGATCATCACATGATCTTTTTACACCTTTTTACGATTGCATATATATAATGTTAGTATTTAGATTTGAGTATAGGTAGACCAGAATAAATAGATAAACTTGGTGTTTTGGGTACAATTATATAAAAGACAATTTCATTTTTGCTTATTCATTAAGGATGTTTAATTTTAAGTTTAGTCTTTCATTTAATCTTTTTAGATCTGATCTGGTCTGATATGTGAAATGCCCTCATTTGAAGAAGTTCTCATTCATGAAGAGCTGCAGTATAATAAATCATATTTGATGGAGGAGCATGCAAATTTGTTGGCTAAGATGACAAATGAACAACGTGTTGTGTATGACAGAATAATGGAATTTGTAGCTCATAGAAACGGGAAATTCTACTTTTTATATGGCCACAGAGGAACTGGGAAAACATATCTATGGAGGACTTTGTCTGCAGCTGTGAGATCTCGCGGTGATATAGTTCTTAACGTCGTTTCAAGTGGTATAACATCGTTTCTCTTGCCTGGAGGAAGGACCACACATTCGAGGTTTGCGATTCCACTTAGTGTTGTAGAAGACTCCACGTGCAACATAAAACATGGTAGTCCGTTGGCTAAGCTGATAGAGTTATCTAAGTTGATTATATGGGATGATGCACCGATGATGCACTGACACTGTTTCGAAGCTCTTGACCGAAGTATGAGAGACGTGCTTTGTTACTCCAACCATTGTGATGCTACCTTACCTTTTGCCGGGAAGACAATTGTATTTGGTGGTGACTTTAGGCAGATTCTTCCTGTGATACCAAAAGGCACGAGACAAGATATTGTGCATACTTGTGACACCCCGGGAAATTTAATAAAAAGATTTAATATTAACTAAACATGTGATACCACACAATTGTAGTTGCGGATATTTTCTTAGCTTATGCTTCGGGACGAAACATCTTTTAAGGAGAGTCCCGTTGTGACAACCCGAAAATTTAAAGAAAATAAATAAATTTATTAGTCAGATAAAATGTTACGAAAGTCAATAAAAATGTTTCAATGATAAAAGTGACATTTTTATAATAGATGTGTTGACTAGGTAGGACCTTGACTTAAAACATTAAAGTGACATTTAAAAAAAAAAAATTTAGTATCGGTTATATAAAGTATACACTAAAAACCAATTTTATTGATAATAATAACAATTATAGAAGTGTTGACCTTCCCAACCTAAAATGTTCACACGTATTAATAAATCCAAGCATGCAATATAGTTTCACTACATAAACATGTACACATTTATATTTTCAAAAGTCACAAAGCATAAACCATGCGGCCATGCCCAAGTCAGTATAAGAAACGAAGGGTGCTTATTCCACGCACATGTTCACCGGTCGGAATCGATCTAATAAGGCCAATATACTCTCTAGTTCGCAATACATAGGCACATGTATTTGCAGTACTCTGCGTGGAAGGTACAAATAAGGACCATATACATGCATGCGATCCAGAAGGGCGACCCACTCATATGCTAATCCTCATGATGCCAAGAAAACGAACTACGTGTATCTCTCTGCACCAAGAGGACTTCAGTGACTGCACATTTATATATACGTACATACTAACCTTGCGAAACCATAACTAGAGAACAACTTCACACACCCGCACATTTCTCTGCGACCTGTTATCTGAGTTGTGAGTAAAAGAGAGTCATAATAAGCGGATCAACTCCTCAGAAGCTAGAGAAGGAGTATGTCGGAGTGTTGTAACTAGAATAGAAGGACTGGTTCTCTATGCCGGATGATGCAAGATTGTCGGGGACTGCCCTGACTCCAGATGGTCGGCTATTTACGAACAAGACAGGATGAAAACTCAGTGCGCCGGAGAAACCTGATGACAGCAACCCCGACCGCCAGAGAAGAAGAGCCTCTCGCCATGCCGCCAATCGCCTGAGGGTCTGCCGCCGTGTATTGCCGGAGGGGGAAAACCATCTGGGCTAGCTTCCGTCACCGAAGAGAGTGCCGCCGATCTCCCTGCGTCAGAACTGTTTTACGAAGAAGACGTCGACTCCCAGCATAGGTAATTCATACACTACGTATTATATATGTTTTATGATGATTAGGCCGGAAACTTATTTTAAAATGGGCAGGTTTAGTAATGAAGGATAATGGAAGTACTGATGAGTTAATAACAAGGCCGAAGAACGTAACTAATATTAGATATATGTTGGTCGCTAGGTATTACTCCGTAGTAATTAATAACAACAATAATAATACACAGGGTTGGAATATTATTATAACTGCACTATTTCTAATATAGTTACGGACTGTTTAGACTGGTTCGAATATATGGACTGGCCGAAATTAACAGTAATTGGGATGATTATAATAATGATGATAATACTAAATATAATTCTGATAATGTTAGAAATAATAATAAGAGTTCTGTTAAGTTAAAAATTGATGATATTCACTTTTAAAGAACCTGTCACTTTTAAATCGGGATAATCAAATGGAGTAAGAAGATTAGTATTGAAATAAATGAATAATCATAGAAGGATTAAAATCTAAAACTGGATAATAATTAACAAGGTGGGATAATTACTAATTAAAGAATGTTAATATTCTTAGAAGGTGATTTTTGTGAAGATCGAGGTAGAAACTTCGTTTAGGATTTACCGCAATTTGAGGTAAGTACTATGTCAACCAAGTTTCATGCTTTTCCCATATAAACTTATTTGTGACTAGTTATTTGAGATCATTTGAGTATATGATAATTAATGAGATTTTACGTATCAATTGTGATTGTGAATTATATATATTCGAGAGATTTGAGTATTTTTATATTGGGTGATATTTTGAGCATTTGAATTTACATATGAATTGTTATTGGATTGAGATTTGAGATTTGAGCTATTTATGAAGTATCTTATATTTTGGATTATTTATGGTATATTTGAGTATGATGAGTTGGAGTCAATAATTTCATTATGAATAATTTGGTGGAATTTGGATTTCATATCCATTTTGATTGAGGTTATGATATTGGAACTTTGAGATTGAATTATGATTTTGTGAGTACTCGGAGAAATGTGGATTTGGTGAGTGGTAATGGCTATAAGTCTAATTCCACCAGGGATCTCCCAAAAGTGGAGCATCCCAGCTTAATTGTAGTAGTCGGTAGAAAAATCCCGACTACTCGGACTTTTTACTACCCGGAGAGCTTGGAATCTCTTTTAGGGGGTGTGCACACTTAAGGTAGGAGTTCGGCTTCCATTGGATTTGGTTGAGTTTGAATGATTGAACTTGAGATGATTTGGATTATTTGGTTGGACTTGAAGGAGATGAATTGAACTACATTATATTGGATTATTTGAGTGGGTTATATTTGTTTGGATTGGATTGAATTTGACATGATTGAGATTATTAAATTATTTGTAGATTTTCAAAGTAATACTTATTAATTTGATTTGATATGGTTATGTTGAATATATATTGATTATGAGTATTTGGAAGTATTTTGAGATGAATATTTGGGATTTACATATGATTTTTGTTTTGGGATATATTTACGAGGATTTTGGTGGTTTATGTATATTGACCTTTTAGAATTATTATGATTTGGAAATATGTACCTATATTTGGAATATTATTATTTTACATGTGATTTTGTGATGAGAAGTTTGTATAAAATGTTTTATGAGGTTTCCTCCCAAGTGTTTTCACAAAATGATATATATGTATCAAACATGATTATTTTACAGGGTTGGGTGGGCCTTACTTAGCATTTCCAGCTAATTTTTGTTTCTTTGTGTTTTCCTTCTGTACTTTATTTGTGCAGGAATTGAGGATCATATTGAAGTGACTTCGAGAGCTTCCGCTAGAACACATAGACTAAAGTGATCGAGTAATTTATTTTAGTCTTAATTTTAAAGAATTGTAGTTGAACAATTAAATATGGAAAATTTTAATTGTTGGTGGTGGATAGCCTGTGCACCCGGTTATGTGAGAGCCGAGTGTGGCGGTAACGCCCCTGTTTTCCTTTGAATTTTCCGCTGCATAATTTTGATAAATCATTATCTAAATATATTTTTGGGTGGGAAATTTGGGGGTGTTACAATACTGCACTGAACAGTTCATTCTTGTGGTCACATTGTATCGTAGCGAGGCTTACTAAAAACATGAGGCTCGCAAGGATGCTCGGCCAGCCGGTTGGAGCAACTATCCAATCTTTTGCGGAGTGGATTTTGAAGATTGGTGACGGAGCTTTTGCTGAATATCAAGATGGAGAATCACTCATTGATATACCATACGAAATAATCACTCCAATGACGTCTGAACCTGTTGAATATATAATTCAAGCTATTTATCCTAATTTCTTAACCCAGAGTGATCCGATTAATTATCTTTATTCCAGAGCTATTCTTGCTCCGACCATAGATGAGGTTGATAAAGTTAACGATTACATGTTGAGCCATATAGATTCAGAGTTAAAGACGTACCTAAGCTCAGATTCAGCTTCTTCATCTGACTCAGATAGTAATGATTTCTTGCATGAGATACATTCTACTGTATTTCTTAATAATATCAAATGTTCTGGTTTGCTGAGTGATGAGCTGAAGCTGAAAGTTGGAGTTCCTGTGATGCTTATGAGGAATATAAATCACTCATCTAGATTGTGCAATGGCACATGGCTTCAGGTCACTAAACTTGGAGATCATATTATTGAGGCTCTGATGATGCATGGAGAAAATGCCGGTGAAAAGTTTCTTATTCTCCGCCTTACTTTGACTCCATCGGACATTAGTCTCCCATTCACTTTTCAACATAGACAATTTCCGTTAATGGTTAGCTATGCAATGACCATTAATAAGAAACATGGACAGTCATTGGAAAACGTTGGCATCTTCCTCCGTCAGCCTGTTTTTACACATGGACAGTTTTTCGTGACGGCCTCGAGAGTAACAAGTCCGTCTGGATTAAAGTTTGTTATATGTGTCGAAGAAGGGAAACCAATGAAGTCAGCATTGAATTTAATATACAAAGAAGTTTATCCTCCCATCGTACCGCCCGATCGGTGTTGGGGGACCTCAAGGATGGCATGTTATCCTTTTTTTACAAAGAAGTTTATACTAATTTATAGTTCCCTTGCTTTACATACATGCATACTCATTGCTACGTATATCGCATCATGATTTGTACTTAACTTTGAGCATTATTTTTTTAATTTCGTATTAAATATGAAACTTATTTTATTTTATGCTTTAAATTGATTATTTTGTTTTAGTTTTTAATTATATGTTTTGAGTTAGGTTAATTAACTATGAAATTCTTTGAGTTTATGTACTCCATCCGACCCAAAATGCCGAAATGGCAGTCCAAAAAAGGTTTGTCATTTCCATTTAAAATAAGGAATATGTGGCTAAATTTAATTCTCTCTTATCTGCACAAATTTCAACCATACAATTTGTACTTTGTTAATCAACGTGCAAGTCAATATTGGCCAACCATTTTGGGATGGAGGGAGTATGATTTATCCAAACATCTTCACTCCCGTGCGTAGCACGGGTGGAATTACTAGTTTGTAGATAATGTCAATTTATTTATCGTTGTAGATAATGTCAATTAGCAATTCAGATCATCACATGATCTTTTTACACCTTTTTACGATTGCATATAATGTTAGTATTTAGATTTGAGTATAGGTAGACCAGAATAAATAGATAAACTTGGTGTTTTGGGTACAATTATATAAAAGACAATTTCATTTTTGCTTATTCATTAAGGATGTTTAATTTTAAGTTTAGTCTTTCATTTAATCTTTTTAGATCTGATCCGGTCTGATATGTGAAACATTTAATGTTTGATCTATCATCTGATTTGAATTGTTGTAATCTACCTAAATGTAGTGTAATCTAAGAATAGCTTAGTTAAAAATATAACTCCTAGATGAGTAGATATACCGTTTTTTAGTGCAAATACAATTCGTCATCATATCAATCTACGAAGGAGTTTCTTTTTTTGTGTGACAAGATCCACAAATGAGTTGTGCCCCCTCCCTTCTCTCTCTTCATGAGAATATGCATGCATAGCCCAGGCTAGCTATCCTTCTAGTGAGATCTGTCATGTCTCTCTCATCAAAATGGTGCTTTATTTATTCTATATATCCTCTGATCAGATCTACCCCAAACCATCTTTAGTTTACTTAATTTCTCCCAAATAGCCCAGAGAGAACTTTCCTTGATGAAGATCACAAGAACCCATCCATCAACATCTGGCCTAGCTCTCATATGCATCACATATATACTAATCTTGCCCGTGCATGAAATCATTCAATTATAACATTCAAAACCACCTTTCCCTCTCATAAAGGTTACTTCCCTTCCTTAAATTACAACCCTCCACCTCTCATCTTCTCTAGATCTTATGTTGATTCCTTGTTAGCTAGGGTTTCTTAGCTGGCCAGCCAGCCAGCCTAGCTTTCTATTTCTATCTCTGATCATAAGAAATCAAGTTTAATTGGTTATTCCCATGGCATCATCATCACAAAAGGGAGATCACCCGGAAAATGAGGGCCATCAGCCGAGCTCCGGCGGCCGGAAAGCTCCGGTGGGGGCTGCGAGTAGGCCGCAGCAAGAAAAAGCTGCGGTGGCAGCGGTGGCGGCGGTGGCTTTGAAGTGCCCTAGATGTGATTCTCCAAACACAAAGTTTTGCTACTACAACAATTACAGCCTTTCCCAGCCAAGGCACTTCTGCAAGACTTGTAGAAGGTACTGGACGAGAGGCGGGGCTTTACGGAGCGTCCCGATCGGCGGCGGCTGCCGGAAAAACAAGAAAGTGGTGAAGCCTTCCATGTCGAGGCTTTCCGGCGGCAACTCTTCCTCAACTGCGGCTTTTCCCTCGCCGGTGGATATGGGTCGGTTCAAGTTCCTTAACAGCCATCTGTCGACCCCCGCCATGGATTTCCAACTCGGCGCCGCGCTGAGCTTCGCGCCCGTTCCGGCCCTTAACATCTCTCCGGCCACCGGCGGCGGCGTTTTCAATTACCATTTCTCCGCTTCCTCTTCTTCTCCCATTATCAACCCATCTTCAGCGTCGATGATCCCAGCTTGTTTCAATCTTGATCCGCCGCCGCCGGGTATTACTTCTTCTCTACTCGGCTTCAACTTCAGTTTCCCTTGTAATGTACTCAAAAGAGATGGAGAAAACAAGACACCCGCCGCCGCCGCCGCCGGCGTAGGGTTTCAAGAAATGGGTACAAATGTAAATTTAGCATCTTCAATCGAGTCCTTGAGCTCAATCAACCAAGAGCTTCATTGGAAACTACAGCAACAAAGATTTGCAATGTTCTATGATGGTGGGGAGAAAGAGAAACCCCAACCTATGTTGTTTCAGAATCTGGAGAATATTCCGAAAGCTCCCCCGCCGGAAACCGCCGCAGAAGGAGGAGGTGGGAACTTATTAGAAACTGAATGGCTTCTTGACACCACCACTTCTTTTGAAAAGTTTATAAATCCAAGCGGCAATGGTAACACCAATGGGATTGAGAATGAGAATGAAAATGAAAACCCTACAAGCAATTGGAACAATAATGGCTTTCAAGCTTGGTCATCATCATCTACCATGAATGGTCACCATGCTTATAACATATCGTAATCCGGCCGGCAGCCGTCCGAGGTGGGTGGGGTGAGGATATATATGGTCGGAAAACATATGATTCAATTTTTTCTTTCATCTTTTATTGTTTCTGTTACATTTCAATAATCAACTTGTCATCATGTGTGGTCTTTGTTGTGTGAAGTATATTATTATTAATTAGATGTATTTAGATCCTTCAACAAGATAAAACTGTGAATTGTATGTGCTTGATGAGCTAAGCTAAATCAGTTTTTTTATCAACATTTTCATTTTTTTTTTCAGTTGCAATTCATAGGTAATACTACATACAGATATATAAATCTTGATGATCTTAAGCGATTCTACGTTATGCTTCCTCATTGTTTGTTTTCTCCCTCTTTGGTCCTCAAAAAGTTAACACTTCACACTTAGCTTGTATAGTTACATGCATTATATTTCATCGATCCCGTTTTAGATGCAACAATTTAAATTTTGGGGTGTTTGGATTTGATTCTGCTCCTTCGGGGAGCAGAAACAGAAGTTTTTGAGTGAAAATGTAAAAGTATTTTTGGTGTTCTAATTTACTTCAAAAAAACAGTTTTCTTTAAGCTGGGGAGATCATCTTCTGATTCTGTTTTTGCTTGGAAAAAGAAGCAGAAGCAAAAACAGACTCAGTTCCAAACTTCCTATTTCTTAATAAATGAGTTTAACTATTTATACGCTTTGTATTAAATTGTCTAATACTAGTAATGAAAATTAAAAATACTTTTTGTAACATTTTACATATGGTGTGTATACACTATTATGAAATGTAAAAGTCACTAAACTGCCATTTATAACTTAGCTAATTTAGATTAAAAAGTATTAGGTACCGATATGTCATACGAAGTATGTATTATGTAGTGTAATGTACTTGTACCTGTTGCATTACTTGTGGTATGGATATGGTACATATTGTTCTATTTTGGAAATTCGCCTTGGTGTGAAAAGCCATGTATACACATTTAGGATGTTTTACTTGGACTGTAATTTGCCCCAGACCAGTTCAGACCAGACCAGACCAGACTTGGATAGTTATAAAAATACAAAGAAACCAGACCTTACCAGACCAGACCAGACCAGACCAGCAAATTACAGTCCAAGTAAAAACATCCGAAGTTTTGTCATCTTTGATTTTCTTGGTTAATGTTATTGAACTTTGATCAATATATGATAAATATTATTTGAGTAAAATTTGTGAATTTTATACTGCCAACTTTATAAGAGTTGTGTTATCAAAACACATTTTCATATTAATGATAATTATATACACGAATACTACCTTTGTCCTTCAATTAAAGTCTTAAATTGACTTTAATTACGTACTCAAAATTAAAAATATTTTATTACAAAAAATTAATTTGATGTGCTTCATTGTAATATGTATTATTGAAATGTTAATTTTTTATATACAGTAGATTATAGAAAAAATCCTTAAATAGGATTGAAAAGATATTGAAATTCCAAAATAGGGTTGTTATGTTTTTATATATCAGGACTGTCAAGTTTTTTCCATATTTGGCAGAAATTACTCCTATTTAGGGATTTGAAGATCCTATTTTGGAATTTCAAAACGTTTTTACTCTTATTTAGGACAATTTCAATATATTATATATGTACATTTATTTATAGATAATTACAATCAAACATCCACCTAGAAGACCGTAAAGTCAAACTGCAACTTTAGTTGTGGGACGGATCGATGAAGTATGTGTTTGGTGAAAGTTTAATGTCATTAATATAAGGCGTTAGAGACTATATAACCAAGCCCTATCTGAAATTTTTGGTCCGTTTCTGAGGAGCCGCGAGTTTCTGTACAGTTCCGTACAGTTTGGGCTTTACAAATGTGGGCCGTGCACGTCCTAGTTACTTTAGGGATTAAGTTTTACTCTCTATAAATACAAGCTCTCTACGTTGTAATCACTTGATCTGAAATATTAATAACATTCATGGCTTGGTAGCGCCCCCCAGACGTAGTCCTTTGTGGCGAACTGGGTTACCAAATTTCGTGTGTTCTTTATTATTGTTCTTCATGTTGCGAGAGTTTATTCCTAACAATTAACTAAGAAAGCCAAAATTTACTAAGTTTTAAACGTTGGAGATAGTATAAAATACTCGTTCGTCTCATATATACGGAGTATAACTTTGTTTATTTTTATTGTCCCGAGAACTTTGTGATTTTCCTTTCAAATCAAATAATTTTGTGATTTCTACTATTTCTTTCTCCCTACACAAAACTAATTCTATTTTAGATTTTCAAAACATGTTAACTCTTATTTCAGAAACTTTCCATAAAATGAAATGTTGTGAACCACATACTTCATTTCTAAAAACGAAATATAACACTTATTTTCGAACAATCTAAAAAGAAAAGTAAAACAAGTAAAATAAGGTACTCCCTCCGTCCCTGAAACAAGTCCACCCTTTCCTTTTTGGGTACGTAGTCCCTGAATTAAGTTCACCTTTCCTTATTTGGCAAATTGTCTATATCAAAACAGTGTCAAACAGTGTTCAAACAATGTTCAAACAGTGTCCAAACAGTAAAATTTACCCCCCAGTAAATTTCTTTCCTTAATATGTGTGAAAAGCAATGGTGAAC